CTAAGTCTGAAAGGCTATTACAAATATTGAATTGCTTTTTAGAAAAGATACTGGCTCTCTGGAACCCCACAAGGTTAACAAACTCTATTTATTATGTTTCCACCTTTTCATTAAATGATCTCTCCATCTCTTAGTCTTAAATGAAAGAAGGCTCTCTGCTAATGATACCAATTCGCCTATCATTTTCTCAAGTAGAAGCTGCTCATTCTTCTATACAAAATGCAATTCAGAATCAGGTCATAAAATGGGCATTTTCCTTACTCATTAGTGCTTCTCCCAGACCATCATTCCTCCTCCTCAAGGCCCATAAATTTAGCTTTATCATCCTCAATCTCTCTTTATCTTTTAGCTCTATCAAAAATGCAGTCATGGCCCGGACAGCATGGCTCAGTGGTTGACCTATGAACCAGGAGGTCACGGTTCAATTCCCCATCAAGGCACGTGCCCAGATTGCGAGCTCAATCCCCAGTGTGGGGTGTGCAGGAGGCAGTTGATCAACGATTCTCTCTCATCATTGATGTTTCTATCTCTCTCTTCTTCTCCTTCCTCTCTGAAATCAATAAAAATATATTTTAAAAATATAGCAATTGTAATCATTCCCAATCATTCGTCAGACATTGCTGTTTAACCAACAGTATTTGTTGTTTGCCTACTCCAAAGTCCTTTTCTTCCTTTTCTTCACAGCAGAATGAGGTTCTACTCTTTCATCAAAACTCAAACAACAGTGACTTAAAACTCAACATCCAGAATCAATCTTGCCTGGCCAGTGTGACTCAGTGGTTGAGCATCAACACATTAACCAGGAAATCGCAGTTTGATTCCTGGTCAGGGCATATGCCCAGGTTTGGGGCTCAATCCCCAGTAGGGGGTGTGCAGGAGGCAGCTGATCAGTAATTCCCTCCATCACTGATGTTTCTATCACTCTCTCCCTCTCCCTTCCTCTCTGAAATCAATAAAAATCTATGTATTTTAAAAGAATCAATATTTATTAGTCCAGCTAATCATGTTTTTATTCTCCTAGCAAACAATTGGTTAAGACAGAGGATGTAAAACCATCTTGGCTAACCAGATGCATGGAATTTGATGGGTGAATTCTTGAAAGAATTCTGTGGCTGCTAGATTATCATGTCTGGATACAATCCCTGGAATTGTACTTATTTCTGAATAATGAGATTATAGTGGCTTTTATTTTCTTTTTCCCTCAAAATTTTCTATGAAGAGCCGGTATTATTTCTATGAAAAATAAAAATTAAAAAGAACTTGAAAAGATGTTCATTTATTCCGTTACCAGTCATAATGGAGTAATAGAGGACTCATCTCCCACTGTAAAAAAAACCACACAACAACCTGTAAAACTGGATAACGTATCTGAAAGAATGGTTTTAGATATTAGGCAACAGTCAATGCAGGACTGTGATTCTTGAAAAAGGAAAGCATTTGAGGTGAGCATAACTAGAGGGAGTTTCCAAGCCATTATGCAAAGCCTGCAAAGGGAGGGAACCTAAAGGAAGCAAAGTACTCTGAGTTGAAAAGTCAGAGATTGTAGTCCAGAATGCCAAGGCAACTAGTATTTGCAGGGCCAACTACCAGAGTGAAAGAGGTCGCAAAAGAGAGCACTCATAAAAACTGGAGAAGTGTGCCACTGAGTGTTCGGCAGAGAACTAATGTGTGCATGTATGGGAAGAGACTACCCAAGGCTGGGGAAAGACCCACCATAAATGAATATGCAGAATAAGTCGTGGAGCTCTTATAGAGCTGGGCACACTTGGTGTTCCCACCAGCCAGAGTTGAAAAACCTCTAGGTTCCTAGGCATGGGTTAGAATTCTGGAAAGGACATTACTTTCGGTTTGGGTTTAAATAAGACATAGACAAAAGGATGCTCTGGACCCACTATAAACCTAAAAGCAAGTCTCAAAAGGATCCAACCAATTTCAAGTAACGTAAATGCAAGTCAGAACAAAATCTAATACTAGTTAAAGGAGTATAACAAAATATAGCACCAACAACATAAAATGTAAAATGTCAGGCATCAGGCCTTCTTCGTGTGGTCTCTTCACATGAGCTGGTTTGAGTTTCCTCACAGCATGGAGGCCTTAGGGTAGTTACACTTCTCATCCAGCAGCTAATTAAGAAGATGGAGGCCGCATTGTCTTTTATGACCTAGCAACAGAAGTCACAAGGCCACTTCTGCCACATGCTGTTGGATAAAATAAAAACACAAGCTTTCCCAGATTCAAAGGAAGGGGAATTAGATGTCATTTTTTTTAAAAAATATGTTTTTATTGATTTCACAGAGAGGAAGGGAGAGGGAGAGAGAGATAGAAACATCAATGATGAGAGAGAATCATTGATCAGCTGCCTCCTGCATCTTCCCCTGACCGGAATTCGAGCCCACAATCTAGGCATGTGCCCTGACCAGGAATAGAATCGTGATGTCCTGGTTCATAGGTTGATGCTCAACCACTGAGCAGCACCAGCCAGGCAAATGCAATTTCTTAATAAGGAAGTGCCAAGATTCTAGAAAAAGATGTGGGAAAGGAGATACTGTTGTTGACATCTTTGAATAATGTAATTGCACTGTAGATCTGTGGTGCAGACCTTTGGTGACAAATTTTCTGAAGAATATTTTTCCAAGATAAATAGTTTTAGATTGATGGGCTTTTATTTTCTTTCAGTACTTTAAAGATCTTCTAGTGCCTTGTAGTTTGAGCTGTTTTTGATAAGAAGTAAGCAGTAATTCTTATTATTGGTCTCCATTATTAATGTATCTTTTCTTTTTTGTCTACTTTTAAGATTTTCTTTTTTATCATTTTTTCTTTCTTTTCTTTTTTTGTTTGTTTGTTTGTTAGAAATCTGACTGTAATGTACTCTGGGTGTGACTTTGTGTTTCTTCTGCTAAAGATTTGTTGAGTCAGTAGATTAATACTTTTTACCAAACCTAAAAATATTTCAGCAACAATCATGCGTTATGTCCATCTTTTTCTTTAAGTTATTGAATATATTTCTATTCAGATTCCTAAAGGGCCTGTCTGCTATTTTCAACATTTGTGTTCTCAATGGATCTATTTTTATTGCCTGTTTTTTATTCTGTTATGAATCACATTTTCCTGCTTCTTTGCATGTCAAATTATAGCCTTTTATTGCTGTGAAATTGTGGCTACTATGAGGTTGACAGTCTGAATTTTTGTGTGTTTGCTTCTGTTCAAAGACTGTTGAGTTTTGTTTTGGCAGGCAGTTATTTTATTGGCAGATTATCCCTATCTTGTTGAGTCTTGTTATTAGGCTTTGTTATGGTGGATCAAGATTAGCTCTTATTCTAGAGCTTGAGTAGTATACTCTTAAGGTCTAACCTTCTGGGGTCTCACTAAATATACAAGATGTTCAGCTGGTCTCTCCACTCTGGTGAGTTAGAATTCTAGCGTCTCCTAGCACTCTCTAACCTCTGGCATTACTATTGAGCTAGCAGATCCTTGGTAGCTATTCTCTGCCAAACCTCAGAAAGTTTTACCCTGCACATAGCAAGTTAGTTTTTGACCAAAGACTCACAGGCCCTCTAATGCAGATTTCTGGAGCTCCTTCTCTAAACAATTCCCTATTCTCTAGTCGCGTGCCCCACAAATCCCAGCTGCATCACCAGCCCTATCCACCAATTTCCACTTATCTGTGTAAAACACTGCTTTCTACTTGGGACCTACTTTCATGTGTTGCTGTTTGGATAGTGCCCGGGCAGAAAATGAGAGTGAATGACAAGTTTACCTTGTGCACCTCCCCTCTCTAAAGGATCACAGCCTTGTGCTGTCTGCTGTCCAATGCATGAAGAGTTTCTTTACACATTTTATCCAGTTTTACAGTTGTTTATCTAAGAAGGGTGACTTTGCTACCTGTTACTTGGTGATGGCTGGAACTGGAAGTCTTATTTAAAATAACATAGTCAATAAATAAAACCTTAATTTTTAGTCATCAAAGTTAACCAAGGAAAAACAATAAATAGTAAAATTAAAAGGATGTGGCAGAAGTATTAGCATACTCGGAGAATTTCCACTATTTTAATTTTCTTAGAATCAGAAAAATCATTTTGAATCACATCATTTCGGTTCATTTTCATTTTTCACTGACAGAGCAATGAACACCACAACACTCTTCATTCCTTCCTTCTTCCTTCCTAACCAATGCTTTATTTTGGGTTTAATACAAAGTGAATGACTCATGATGAATCAACTGTGCCAATGATGACACTCCCCTCTCACCTTGACAGATACTCAAACTCCCAGCCTCCCTTAGTGATGGAGGTGGCCATACAACTGTATTCTGACCAAGGAGACACAGAGGTAGGTTTGTTAGGTATCTCTTTTTATTTTCTTGGGAAAAGGAATAAGTGAGACAGGCCTCTTTTTCCTGTCTCTTCTAAATATAACACAGAGGAGGAAAAGACCACACTCTGAGTATGAGAGAGGAGAAGGGACAAAAGAGCCTGGGTCCTTGGTGACAGCACTGAGCAACTAAATCAATTCAGTAACTTACTGCCTCTGAGAAAAAAGTAAACCTATTTGTTTAAACCACTCTGTCAAAGGTTTTGTTTCTACCTGTACTAGAAAGCATTTCTGACTGATAAATACACACAGCATCTGTCCTGTAAACTAAGGGTTTGCAAATATGATGTAAAAATAGCTTTAAAATAAAACATAAAAAAGGAAATGCCTGGGAACTGCCTTCTCTTGAAGTCTGAACTAATCAGGTTTTCTTTGGTGTCCATATGTCCCCCTTTAGACTGCAAACTCCCATGTAGCCAGGGATCTTTTGTGCTCTACCTATGGGCCTACGTACTTTTGGGTGCTCGAGTTAGCTTGCTGATAGATTTCTAGACATCCTACAACTTATTTCTGTCATCTAGGTATTCTTTGACATCATCAGGAACAAAGACACAATAGACTTAAATTTCTTTTTATAGAAGTGAGTATGCAGGCAAAACAAGCAAGCAAAAGGACGTTCACTGTCTTACGTTCACATTCTCTGACATCCAAGTTGAACTGCTGTAATGCTCCCAAGGTGAGCTGCCTTACTTCAGCTTCCAGCAAAAGTTGCATCAAGGATGTGGCTAAATGCTTGCAAGCTGACATACATGCTGTTTGAGCCACCTTTCCCTGAAATACAAAAATGTAAATCATAATTTTAATGGATCAAAGTAAAATTATAACAACATTAAAACCATTTATTTTTCCATTAGGAATGTCTTTGTTTTCTTCATCACAATACCCTTAACATTCAAATAATACTGGAATTAATAGTTCCTGATGGCAATCATCTTAAATAGTAGCATCATCATGACCAGTCATGTAGCTACGACACTATGTTAAAATTCAGAAAGCCCAGCTATTTATTCAGGGAGCACTTTTTCTAAATCAACAATAGATAAACAATATTCAAAATCTTAATTAAACCAAGAAGAAATTTTTCGACACAGAAAAAAATTTCAAACAGTCCCTTCTGTATCAATCACAGTTCTTAAAAAACAAAATAAAAAGCATGGCGAAAGAAACCATCAACAAAACAAGAAAGCCCACTGCATGGGAGAACATATTTGCCACTGTTATCTCTGATAAGGGTTTATGCCAAAATTTATAGGGAATTCATACAACTTAACAAAAGGAAGATAAACAATCCAATCAAAAAATGGGCAAAGGACCTAAATAGGCACTTTTCAAAAGAGGACATACAGAAGGCTGAGAGACATGAAAACCTGCTCAAAGTCACTAATCATCCAAGAGATGCAAATCAAAACAACAATGAGGTCTCATCTCATGCCTGTCAGAATGGCTATCATCAACAAATCAACAAACGACAAGTGCTGGAGAGAATGCAAAGAAAAAGGAACCCTCGTGCGCTGCTGGTGGGAATGAAGACTGGTGCAGCCACTGTGGAAAACAGTATCAAAAAGTTAAAAATGGAACTCCCATTTGACCCAGTAATCCCACTTCTAGGAATATATCCCAAGAAAACAGAAACACCAATCAGAAAGGATATATGCACCCCTATGTTCATAGCAGCACAATTTATAATAACTAAGATTTGGAAACAGCCTAACTGCCCATCAGCAGATGAGTTGATTCGAAAACTGTGGTACATCTACACAATGGAATACTATGCTGCTGTAAAAAAGAAGGAATTCTTACCATTTGCAACAGCATGTATGGAACTGGAGAACATTATGCTAAGCGAAATAAGCCAGTCAAAGAAAGATAAATATCACATGATCTCACTGATTTGTGGAATATAATGAACAATATAAACTGAGAAACCAAAATAGAACCAGAGTCATAGAAGCATCGAATAGACTGTCCAACCTATGAGGGAAGGCGGTGGGTGAGGGGGTAAGAGATCAACCAAAGGACTTGTATGCATGCATCTGAGCAAAACCCAATGGATAAAGATGGCGGGTGGGTGCTGGGAGGTGGGGGTAGCCAGGGAGAGGTCAATGGGGGAAAAGGAAACTTATGTAATACTTTAAACAATAAAGAATTTCAATTAAAAGAAAATGTAGGCCCTGGCCAGATAGCTCAGTTGGTTAGAACATCATCCTGATACACCAAGGTTGTGGATTCAATTTCCAGTCAGAGCACATAAAAAACAACAACCAACAAATGCATAAATAAGTGAAACAACAAATCACTATTTCTCTCTCTCCCTCTCCCTCTCTGTCTTGTTCCCCCTTCTTCTCTCTCTCTAAAATCAATTAATAAAAAGGTTTATTGAAAGAAATAATTAAAAGGATAAATTTTGTTTTCTTAAAAAATGAACACTGAAGTTTATTAACATAAATTATAAGCTAATTTTTTAAATATGATATTGAAAATATCTTACTACCTTCTTTAAAGTATTCAAACACTTTATATTTAGTGAATGACATCTTAGTCTCAGGTCTAGGTCATACCCCATAGAAAATATATCCATTTTTTTCCAGACATATATCCATTTTTTTCCTGTTATTTATTTGTTACTTACCATCAATATCTATCCTGAAAACCAGGATGATATGTATCTTTAAAAGTCTGAATTCTCAAATTAGTGAATCCTTTTCTGAAATTATGGAGTAATTCAGTCATGTGGAAAGATATATAAAATTACAAGATGAACACTCATGTATCCATTAAACATTACAAATATAGTTTAGCCCCTGTGTGACCTCCTTAATCATTTTCCTCCCTCTACCTACAGGTGACCATTATTGGTGTTAGGCATGTCATTTTTATTTTAAAAATACTATTATGATAAGTATACATATAACAAAAGTAATATACTGTATTATTTTATGTATTTTAAAACTTTCCATAATCATATATGGCATGTCCTTTTGCAACATGATTTTTTAGTTCAATATTGTAATGTAAAGTTTTTTCAGTGTAATGCATGTGGTTGTAGTTTATTCCTTTAATTATTCTACAGTATACGACAATATATTTGTCCATTCTTCTGATTTTGGAGATTTAGTTTGTTCCTACTATAAACTAGGTAGGTCATAGAGTAATGTAGGTCTAGTAAAAATTCACAAAAATTCCAGATTCTCACTATGGGGTCCCTTTAGGTGTTTTTTCCATATATTTCAATGGACCAGGGAGTACCCAATTCTTTTTTACAAAAAGGGAGATATCATCCATTATTTCTTATACAAAGATACAACTGACACAACTAAAACAAATGTGTAGAAATCTTACAAACTCTTTCAAAGAATTATAGAAAGCTCAATATGCATTACTTTCCATTACTATGTACATCATAGTACTTCATGCAAGGGAGTGGAGGTGAAGACTCGGAGAGCATCATCAATATCACTCATCTCCTCCACCATCAGGGAGGCTGCTTCTGTTTGCTGAGCATTGAGTATGTGCCAAATGTTTTGAAAATATCTTCTCATATAATTCTCACAAGAACCCCATGAGGTATTTAATACTCAATTTGCAGATAAGGACAGAGAAATAGGATTATTTTACTGTATATTCTTAGTGGTGGAGCTAAGATGTGAATCCAGCCCTGTCAGACTTTCCAAAAAAAACTCTTAACAATCATTTGATCCTGCCTCCCAGTCAAGGGCTTTGTGGTAGTGTCTGTTGCTCTGAGACTTGGGGTAAGGAAATGGAGAGGACAAGAAGATAAAATCACACAAGTCTGAAAGGCCAGGTACTGAGCGAGAGGCTTTTCTCTTCCTTACTCATCTAAGGAAGCATCAAAAGAAGGTTCTGTTCACAGTAGGGGTTTAAAATGGACCCCCAGCACAGCTCTCTGTCAACCCACTGGGATCAGATCCTGAGTCCCAGAGGAACAAGGATTCTATCTAACTGACTACAAATGGCCAAGGCCCAGTGTCTCCTTCTCCGGATAACCTAGCAGGTTTCAAGAAACATGGAAGGAGGGCCAGGTACTATTCTGTGAAGGAGAGCTGTCCTTTCACACCAACTTTCTCTTTTGCTTTTGCTTCCTAAGTAACACTCCTCTGCTCACATTTCGCTGTGTCAAATTTTATCTCCCTCTAGAGCAGCGGTTCTCAACCTGTGGGTCGTGACCCCTTTGGGGGTCGAACGACCCTTTCACAGGGGTCGCCTAAGACCATCGGAAAACACATATATAATTACATATTGTTTTGTGATTAATCACTATGCTTTAATTATGTTCAATTTGTAACCATGAAATTGGGGGTCACCACAAAATGAGGAACTGTATTAAAGGGTCTCGGCATTAGGAAGGTTGAGAACCACTGCTCTAGAAGTGTGTGTAGTTCGAAGGCATGAGAGCCAGAGAGCTGATGGTGTGGCTTTCAGCCTGAGTATGAAAGCCTGAGAACCAGGATCACCAAGTGCAGGACACTGCTTGCTACTCCCCACGTATAATTGACGCTCTGTAAAAATTTCTCCCCTTGGTTTCTCTTTCTGCATTTAGGTTGTATAGTTTTAACTGAATAGTCTTTTAAATTTTCCAGTCTTATTTTCTAAAGTGGCTAATTTTTGCTACTAATCCAATTCAGCATGTTTTTCATTTCTGATACTTTTGTTTTTAGAAGTTCCATTTTATTAATTTCTTTAAATCTTCACCCGAGGATATTTGAGAGAGAGAGAGAGAGAGAGAGAGAGAGAGAGAGAGAGAAAGAAACATCGACGTGCAAGAGACACATTGATTGGGTGCCTTCTGCCCATGCCCCAGCTGGAGCCTTGGATCAAACCTGCAACCCCAAGTACGTGTCCTTGACCGGAATTGAACCCACGACCCTTTGGTGGGGGGGCCGATGCTCCAACCACCGAGCCGCATCAGCCAGGACTGATTAATTTTTTATAACTTCTACTTCTTTCCTTAAATTTGTATGTACCTTTAAATCTTGAACCTATTGTGCATGTGTGGGTATATGAGCATTTTAAAAGCATTTACCTGCTAATTCTGTCACCTATGTCACTTGGGTAACTTTTTTATGAACTGATGATATTCCTTGTTATGGATCACATTGTCCTGTTTCTTGTCAAATCTAGTAAATTTTTAACACTAGATACTGTGAATGCTAGGTTGCTGAATGTCTCTATTTTGTTGAATTTCTTTAAAGAGAGTTGATTTCTGTTATGGCAAACAGCTCGGTTTCTTTTGCAATTTTAAGGTTTACAGGTCTACTCTTTTATGTAGGGATTGGAATAATCTATTCTCTATAGTTACTTTAGACCTACTACAAATGTAGCTTTAGACCAACTACTAGCTATTCTTCTGGTGGTTCTACTAAATGCTTCAGGAATTCAGTGGGGTCTTTCCCTTCTTACAGGTTAAATTTTTAACATCTCCCTGCCTTGTGTGACTTCTGGAAAATGTGCTCAGCTTCTGTACCCTAGCATTTATTTTTTGCCTGACATCATGAATTTTTCCTACACATGAACAACTTAGTATACAGCCAAAGCTTCAAGGGATCCCAATGCAGATACCTGGTGCTATCCCTCAAATTACCTCAAAACTACTTCCTTACAAATATCAGCAACTTATTCCCTAAACTTCAATCTTTGTCTTCTTCCTATTTAAAAAAATATTTTTTTATTGATTTCAGAGAGGAAGGGAGAGGGAGACAGAGATAGAAACATCAATGATGAGAGAGAATCATTGATTGGCTGCTTCTTGCATG